GGAGAGAGATTGGAAATTAAGCAATATAGCCTGTCCAACGGTATTTAGACTTTGTCCCATGTACACCCAAGAAGTTACTAGCCACACCGAGCCTCCCAATATCTCAAGGGCTCTTGAAAATGTAGAGTGCATATCAATGTACATATACACGTAATTCCAACCATTATTCTGATATTGTATGCAAGTGTATAGTGGCTTTCTCGTGACTTTGTGTGATATGTAAAGTGTAAGTTCATTATGCAGGACATCTCTGAGGATTCAAGCTGAAAGCTATTGCATGTACCTGTACATGATGACAAAATGAAATTACTTGCTTTCTTTTTGTGGTTTAGTGGCGAAATCCTGGTAAATAAATTGCTGGTATACAAAAGGAAATAAAAGGAATTACTTCTTATTACACTGTTGAAGTCCAAAATGTTAAGAATTTGATCTCTAGAATCATTCAATTTGGTCAAAAAATCAGAGTTAAATGGAATACCAAAATCAAATTTCAACATTCAGGTTGGTTATTTTCTCTGTCAATTCTATGAAAACAAGCTTTTAGGAATCAAAGTTTACTAACTAAAAGTTTGACACCAATATAACCCTCCCCCCTTCCATTTTTTTCTTTATTTATTTATAAATTAATGACAATCACAGGAGCTGGCTATGTTTCACACAGGCAACATTCACGATGCTGGCACCGGGGAAGTTAATTTCATTAATAGAGAAGCAGAAATTCATCAGACAGCTTAATGACCTTCGATGAGGGAACGGGCACATCTTCCCAGCAGACACTTTGACGCTCTTATATCATTAACTACTACAGTCTGTCTCTAGGACCATGTTCAGTCCATAACTCATATCACTGTAATAGGACTGTGGGGAAAAGTCACATAGTTATGTGTATTTATTATACTCTTGATGCAAGTAGTATTTCAAAATATTTAAGATAGATAGTTCAGATACACGTATGTAATTGCACCATTTGTTAGTGCCAATTCAATTCTCGCTACCCTAAATAGGTACGAAAATCTCGAAATTCGCGAGACGAGGTAATTTTCACTCTCTCGGGTCGTCACTACAACTTCCGGTATAGAGTCCCATCCCGCTGGAGCTAGCGCCTGTGTTCGCTGTGCAGAGTTTTCACGCACGCTAAAATCGATGCCAATCAGTGTAATTTGTAAAGATTATAATATGCAATGGAAAGCTTCGGGCAGAATTAGTGACTTTAGCACAAAAGGCCGTTAAACTCTACCGTGAAAGAGAGGGTTGTGATCACGAACGCCTGCACAGGAAGCTGTAATGTCGAAAAGCTATCCCATAATGCAATGCGCGTTTTCAGGATTTTCCCCGGATCTCGGCAGAATCGCTATTTGGGGTAGCGAGAATTCTAGTCTGCTTAAAAAGCTGATACTATTGGAGTAAGAATAAAAGAGTGTGTGTGTAAAGAGTGTAAAGAGAGAGAGAGAGAGAGAGAGAGAGAGATTTTAAAGAAAGAAATAAAGGAAGGTAGAAAGAAAGAAGAAGAGAATGAAACAAGATGAACTAGAAGATGAAAATTTTATGAATGTAGGGGTGGAGATAAATATTTGAGTACATGTAGTACTATCCATGTGAGCCTACAAGCCTTTTTGTGTCCATTTTAAACGTAAAATATACATATCAGTTGAAAATCTGGCAATAACTACAATTGATTAGTTTAAAAAGGGGAAACCTATCAAAAAATATTTGGACAGATATGACAGGAGCTAATTCCATTGTGAATTATGACCAAACACAATTCAACATCTGCTATTTAGAAAACTAGAATACAGTGTAATACACCATTACCTTTGCATTAAACTGAATACAATATCTGCTCATTAGATATCTAGAATAAAGCTTTTTTTAACAGTACATTCACAAATTGCTTGTGCATCCTACGGGGGACTAATTATTTAGCAATCTCCGAGCGAAATTGAATGTGATTTCTATCTCTGGGAGCGGTGAGTCATGCTTATTGGAAACCCAACTCCTCCTGAAAAATGACTCTGAGCTGCTGCCTCTGACTCATAGCAGCGCCATGCCCAAGCAGCAGCCACTGGGGCTGATGATGAAAAGGGGTGTAGGAGTTTACACAGTGGTGGTATAGGGGACATAGGATGACTATGTGTCTTGTGAAGGCCAAGGTTTCAGCCAGGACAACATCTCTCAGAGGCTCAGACGATGTCCAAGGTGGTTTAGGAGACGATCAATCGCGACACGACGGAATGCTGGATGTTATTGTTGAGTATGGCCACTGACGGGAGTCAAGGGACAAAGGAATAAATGTTTGCATGGTGAGGATGAGTAATGGCATAGGTCTGCATGTCTGGAAGGAAGCACAATGCAATTTTTGTCTTCCAAGTTCTTGACACAAAGAAATCCAGTGGCCCAACATACTGTTTGCCTGCACTAAACATCACCACGATACTTCGACGGTATCAAATAACATTTCTCTCAATTTCATAGGATATAAGCTTACCTCGCTCTCAATTTTATCAAGTAAATGAAGACAAGTACCAGCATGGATTGATTACTGAATAGTGATTATAAATGTACCAGCATAAATATACTGTGTCATTTTTCATACTTGAACTGGAATTGAGTAGCACCTTTTAAATGCTTCAAATCCACTTTGGTTTCAGGTGAATTAGGTGCCTTACAAATCCTATCTTATAAAATTAAGTGTTTTTTTTAAAGTACCTATTTAGAAATTGAGTTAAATAAACCTCATAATGCTAAAAGAAATTGTGACCTCTTTTTCAATCGAATCTGTCTGCATAATACATGTGTGTTTGCGTTAATTGTGTATGATATCATTGGTACTTACATGTAGTGAATTATATATGTTTTTATAAACTATAAAAGGAACTACACTTAAAAATCTAATGATACCTTTTGATGATTTGAAACAAAATCTAAAAGCAGGGAGGTGAGACTTTAACTCACATGCCCTGCTAAAAGTCTCTTTTGATTGATGTACATGTATTTACTTGAAGAAATTCTCACTGATAAGATAGATCTACCGGGGTACAAGTGAATTGGCAACATTAATGCTACATGTACTAGTACAATCACTGACACAATACAATTATTTATACTACAACGCAAGTTCTGGCCTCTGGGAAATAGTTTTTTCCCTTTTTCTCTTAGGCCCAAATATTTCCCGCTCTGTTCCTAAAAAGCTTACATCTACTACATGCAGCATACGATGTAGCATAAAATTATATTACCTTGCACAAAGACTGCAATACAATTATCTTCATTCTTGATTGTAATTACCATACAGCCAAGCAAACTAGCAAAGTCCTGTCATTATATTTTAAGTACATTGTACTTGTGCAAACAAGCAGCCCAATGTGCTAGTACAGTGCAACTTGAGCTTAGATTTTCAACAATGATGTTATGGCCAGTGCTATGTACTGTAAAACGAAGAAGTAACCATTTGAATGGGATCCTTCCATTCTTAATCTACCTCAAAACGCTTCAATGGATTGCTATTGTGTGCCAGTGATTCAACTTGCAGCCATGCATGCTCTTAACTAAGCACGCTGGTCCTTTTTTTTCTAAGCGTAAAAGAGAGAGAGAGAATGAATTGTGCCAAGGAGGGGAAGAAAGGAGAGAAAGAGACCACAGAACAAAGTGCCTTAAATACATACATAATTGAATGGGCTCCGTTAGCCGTGTGTTTATTCAAGCCCTACTCTAGTAATTTAGAAAAACACGGTAGTCCTACTGGGACAAACAAATACCAAGAGCGGCCCGAGAAACTTTTGAGAACCTTGGAGCAGAAGGGAGACCGAAGAAAGAAAAATGCAGAACACATCTATCGCAGTAACCATGAAATTTGGTGACAAAATACACACACTTGCCGCTTTGATAACCGTTTATGAAATGCAAACGGGAAGAAAAATGGTGGACGGTCTTTTCATGGCTGGCAAACCTCAATTTAAATTGACTTTGGTAGCTAGGTACATGCACACAATTAACATACAGAACTCTATTTCACGTAGTAGGGCTACATGTGTACACTAAACCATGCAGTGCATGCCTTTGTTGTACGTGTACTTGCATTAGGATAGCCCAAGGACAAAAAAGCTGAAGCAATTCCATGTGAATTTCAGCGAGCGATTCCAGCGATTCACTCGACACCCTGCCCCTACTTGTGACCGCTTTCCTTTCATCCCATCTCCCTCCCGTGGAGAAATTCAAGACCGGTTAGCATATGGTAGGCCACTTGGGGAATTTACAGGTCAAATCCAAACTGCTTTTATACCAGTTTCACCCCTGTTTGGGTCAACAGAGTAGTGGCACCAGTCTGATGTTATGGGAATAATGGGAAATTGTGTTTTCTTCCCAGAGAGACCGTCGATTCCATGAATTGTTTTCTATTACTATTCCATACACACATATTATAAATAATAAAGATTTTGTGTAAAAGTAGAGTAGCAATGGAAAGCTATATACATGTACAGTGTACATACCGGTATGTAATATATAGGCCTAACCAGCCTACATGTATAATACATTTGTGTATTACTTGGTAGTAGGCTTATAATTTCATAGATTATAGTCAGCAATAAGCTTTAAAAATGGCTGGTTTAGAATCATGTAAACATATTTCAGCTTAATCCAAAGGCTTGTATCTTTCTTTGTTAAATAAGAAAAATAATGTTCATATCACACTGGTTCAAATCATACACACTCTGAATATCTACCCTTTACGCGTAACTAATTATGCAGAGCTCAATACTATCAAAGCTTCGATTCACCAAGCTTTATGGGGAAAAAAAATCATTCCAGAGAGTGAAGACCCTTATATTTTGTAAATGGAAACTGTAACAGGTCCTGAAAAGGCCCTCTTAAATGACATCCATATAAAGGAGTTAGTATGGAGCTCCGCATAACAAAATTAAATCCTAAAAGGCTAATAAGCCATGTACAGATTAATATACATGTAACAAACAAAACAAAGGTCACCATTGACAAATCCAGGATTTAAATACAAGAAATGTTTGCGTTTTTAATTTCACATATCTTTCTATTCCTTTTTAACATCAACAACCTTAATAATAAAGAAAAAAATCTTCCAGTTTTCCACAGAATTGATACACATGTAGAACATATCGGCTTTCTAAAGAGCGATTCGGTCACATAACACTGAATCTTGTACAAATTGGACTACAAATGGCGCTTGTACAATTCTTGACATAATTAATCTGCCGTTGTACTAGAAACCAATACAAAAATATGCAAAGAGAATGCATAGTGCAGTGGAATACAAGGGAACATACACACATGAGAAATGTGGATGGTGAATTAAACTGTAATTTGCCCATAAAATTAAAACTGGCTCCATTTGTAAAATTTCACGCATGGTAAGTGAAGAGTAACTTCTAACAATTTGCAACAAGTTTGAACTAAAGATCTAACAGATTAAATACACAGCGTAATAAACACCTTCTGATAGCGGGTCATATCAATTTATGATCAGTTAAATCAGATCAAAACTGCAGCCAACTCTATCTGTACTAAATTATGTACTTAGTTATAATCCATGATTATCAATAGTTCTATTTAGTAACATATAACCCAAAAGCACCATACATGTAGGAATAATTAGCCTGCATGGAAACTCAAACAAAACTATAAGAAAAAATTTGCAGTGGAAAATCCTTGAATTTAAGTTATGACAGTCCACACATAACTTGTACATGTATGTTCAAACCGTATCACCACAAACTACAGAGTTTGGGTGTAGGGTTCCTTTTTCTGATTGGTAATACATTAAAATAACATGTAAATTCTGAAGTTGAATAGATCTCAATCACTGATTTAACTGCTTAGTGCTTGCAAATAAAGAATATGAACCAATTTGAGAAATGAGATGTCATCAACCAAGCTAAAGACATAAAAAGTGAAATACATATGGATTTTGTGAAAAAATTTCGAAATTTTAAAAACATGTTTGCTCAATAATCACCCAACAATAAGCCAAAAGATCAAATATGTATATGAAAGCTATGATAACAGTTTTGAAACTTCCTGTGGAACTCCTAACAAAAGGGCAGAAGCCCCAACAACAAGAATAATTAATGAGACACTGAAAAACCTACATTTTCTTGCATTGAAGACAAAACAGTGCATGCCTGTAATTAATTGTAGCTTGTGATTAGAACTGTAAAAAGAAGGAAACTCTGGGAAACTGATTGAATTAACCTTACAGGCCTAAATATATGTGCCATCATATAAAAAATGATGTTGGTAGTGAAATATGAATACATAATATCTTCTTTTATTCCATACGGTTGGCAGTAAATCATTTTCAATTTGGTGACAGTTTATGAAAGAATTGAAAGCAAAGATTGTCAATAATGTCCAACACCACAGAATGCCAGAGACAAACGATATTGAAGAAAAAAAATTATGTTGAATTATATGTTAATTCAATGGATCTTAAATGACCATCCATTGATATTCCTTTCAAACCCATGGAAATAGCACACCATACTCAAAGTTACTGCAGTATCAAAACTTTGGAAACAAATTGTACTTTATTTCATGTTCGAAAAAAAAAAGGAACCAGAATATTCATAGAACCATATCCCCCACCGTGATTCAGCCATTATGTAATCTTGACAATGCTCTAATTGCACTGAATTATTTAGAACCATAGTAAAATGATGTGCTTCTTGAAGCATTGTCGTGTCACTGAAACAACACGAGTTATGTACTTCAAACTAGTAGTTACTGTTAATCTTGGTGGAATTTTTCACTACGTCAACTTACTAACCATAAGATGTATTATTTTTTCACTACATTGGACATAATAACCATCATGCAATTCTACAGCTTTCCTACAACATTTATATCAAATTATCAACACATCAACTCTGTGATAAAGTTGAAGATTTATTTCAAAGTGTACATTTCTAGCATAGTTTGTTTACATTTTTCTGTTAGCTGTACATTTTTTTTACATAAATTGTTTATTTACAAAGGCATATCAAGATACATGTACAGTTTATGAAACAATAATACTTTGTAAGCAGATTACATGTACACAAAAATTGGCAACACCTGACGCTACGCTCGTAATAACAAAAATTGTACAACTACAGAGCATGTAGTGATCATAAAGTTTGCACATTGACAGCTCTATAAAATCCTCTACATTTTGTCAGAATCTGTAGGTTAGAATGAGTGACAACCCCCCCCCTAAAAAAAAAAAAAAAAAAAAAAAAAAATGTCATCAAGTTATTGATAAGAAAATGCTTGTTGCTATTTTCTTGCTTTCAATTTGAAAAAAAAACAGAACCAAAACCTAAAACTGAAAATGGCAAACAATTATTTCAGATTCTCAGAGAGTTTGAATAAAAAAGAAAAATTTCCCAAAAGAAATGATGTATCCTCTTGGCATCAAGGGATTAGTCTTACTAGGACATTAAATAAGAAATTTATGTAAAGATGTCTCAAGGAGTTATGTATGAAACTCACTTTATCCTTTAGGAGATTCATCACTTTCCATATTAGTTTTCCATGTCAAAGGTCACATATATTGTTTTTTACAAGTCCATACAAATTGTCAGTGCTTGATTCTTCCTCACCCGGAGATCATACATTGGCTGGTGCACCTTTAGGATGTGAGGAAAAATTACAGAGTTTTGAGTAAAACTGGGTCCACGATCTCACGGTTTTAGGTGACCAAACCCAAACACTGCTGGTTATTCCCACAATGAGCATCATCAAATATTTAACAATAAAAACAAGATAGTCTGGACCCGGCAAATTGATAGCTTGTAGCATATCTATAGTGATCCCTTCTGGCAAGTTCTGAGCTTGAGGGCACCCAAAGCTGTAGTGGTGGCAATTTCCTAATAGCCAGGCCACTTCCCAAATTTCCCTATTCGCCTGCTCATAAATGTAACATCCGATGACTATTGTGGCTGGGACGGTGTAAAGCAACGAGAAGATACCAATACGGATCATGAGTTTCTCCAGCTTATCTGTCTTGTTGCCATCGCTTTTCATGAAAGTCCTGATGCGGAACAGCGCGATAAATCCAGCACACAAGAAGAAGCATCCAATAATGAGATACACAAAGAGTGGCGCGAGTATGAATCCACGCAACGCATTCATGTCGCGAATTCCTGTGTAGCAGACTCCGGACAGGGAATCACCGTCGACCTGGCCAGTAGCGAGGACTCCGATGGTCTTCCCTGCTGGAATGGACCAGGCAGCGAAGTGAAAGTACTGGGAGTTGCGCTCTATGGCTTCGTGGCCCCATTTGAGACCAGCAGCCAGGAACCAGGTGAGGCTGAGCAGGACCCACCACAGACACGATGCCATCTGGAAAAAGTAGAGTAACATGAAAAGGATGGTGCACCACTGCTGCTTCGCCCCTTGGACTAGAGTAGATTCCGCGTTAGGATGGTACGGTCTGTTACAGGAAACTTTATCTTGCAGAAAGAACCCTGCGATGAAGACCACCGAGATAACAAAATAGCATCCTGACAGGAAAATGATGGGACGCTCAGGGTAGCGGAATCGGCTGCGGTCGATGAGAAATGTCAGAACGGTGAAGAGCGAGGAGGCAGCACAGACGAACGCCCAGCAACCGACCCAGTATCTTGCAAAGTTCTGCTCTCTTGGTGTGTGGAAGTACATGTTGCAGGGGGCCCCGCAATTCTGGGCCCTCATAAATGTGTAATCCCAATCATGATCCACTGTCAGGTCGAGAGGACAGGTGAACGGAACTTCTTTCGTAACAGTCGCCTCCGTCTGCTTGGTGATATTTGGAGCTTTGGTGGAGGGAATGGTAATGCGTTCGTCGGTGCGATTTCGATCAAAACACAAGCCCCCTTCTGGAAATTGATCGCAGGAAAGACTTGCAGGCCACGAAAAGCCAAATTTGTTCATCAGGCTTTCGCACCCATTCCTGGCGCTCAGGCAAAGCGATTTACACGGGGGCAGTGCCGAATCCAGCACTGTACAAACTGGAGCATACATGGAGCACAGGAAATTCTTCAAATCCTCAGAACACTGTACTTTGACGAGAGGATAGAACTGATGAACCTCTAACCCTGCATCCTCTTGGTGCTGATGGTTCAGAAGATTCGGCATGATCGTCATATTATACGGCATATCCTCGCATAGCGGGATTGTTATGGCTTCGCAGCGCCCGTGTGTTATTCCCTCGTTGTAATCGAACTGTGCATTGGCAGCGCCAAAATGAAAAAGCACCACCATCAATGTCAGTAAAAATCCGACGGCTAGATGCCGATTTTCTCTCACCAACCAACCCATCTTCTAACCGTATATCTTCTGCGGTATTCCAATAATACAGATCTCCTTTAACAAGGGTAGAAAGTCAGCTAAATGGTAAAAATATCGAGCCTCAAACACGAAGTATATTCCGAAGTCGACGATCAGGCATCAGCTTGGTACTACAAAATTACCACACCAGCCAAGCCCGTGCATCTTGTGTGTATGAGCGGTGGTGGACGGTGTTCTGCAAGGGGGTCTTGCTCGCTTCGATCTCCACACAGCATACACCATCAGAGGGCAAGTGTATTATGGCTTCAATCGGTGACGTCACAGGGAGGAGCCGTGTTTGGGATCCCAAATTTGCATACGATGCCTAAATTTTCATAAAATGTTGCCGTAACTTCACTCTTAGGACAGTTTAAGCAGTAGAATCAACTTATAATGGTTGAAATGCAATTTTTGACTCAATGATATGATGAGAATAATCCCTACATTGCTAGGGTAAATGGGATCTGCCAAACGTGCCTGTCGCTAATCAATTAGTGCCCGGCCAATGAAAAGGGATGGATTGGTCACGTGACTCGTGCAGACAAAAGGTTTTATAGCAGGTGCATCGTTGTATGTATTGCGTACAAATCGAATGGGGATGAATGAGGTTCTGTTCCTTCTCGGGTCAAATTTGGAGCGAACTCTTTTGAGTTCATAACTTTACCTGCCTGTCTGCTATGGTGCTATTGTCATCAGTTCCACTTCGATAAATCTCATGACAGCTCGGTAATGCCTGTTTACAAACTGATTATCTTTTCATTCATAATGACATTGTCTTGTACAGTCGTTGTGCTCTAATGTCAAGTGATGAATTGTTCCACAAATTATTTACTTTGCATTGTTGTGTTCTATAACTTTTAGTAATTGTAGACCGAAGTTATGCGTATGATACTTGAGTACATGTACGCTAATATGCCTATGGAAAGTTGATGTAAAATTTAATGATCTGAATGTACAAATCAGTTAGCAAACACAACTCCCAGATTTTCAGTTGATTTTAACTGAAGTCGATGACTTTGTGTGAGTTTGGCTGCAAAACATAGATTGTTGGGGTGCATTTAATATGCAAACAAATTATGTTTAATTTAAGAAAGACCAAAATGATACCTACATGTAGGTCTAGCCCAGGGCCATAAATTGTGGAACTTGCATAGCAATAATGATTAAATTTACAGTTTGTGTCAACTTGTCATTCAACAGCTGTGGACTTGAGACCCTGGTTACATTCCATTCTGTTTTTAGAAAATTAAAATTCCAATTTAAGGTCCATCTTTTATTACTAAGAGGACCCCCCCCCTATCCCTAATCAAAGAATAAAAAAGATACAAGTAGATCTAGGCCTAATCTCCCTATTTCTAATTTTAAAGATGTGTAACTGTTTTTGCACCCATCAAAAGTAGGACTAAGATTTTGTTTTTGTTGTTGGGGGGGGGGGGGGGCTTTGTTCTTTTGTCATGTCACAAGATAACTATCAAATAAAAGAAAAAGGAAAAAGTGGATTAAAATAAGATGGATGTTACGGGAAACCCTCAGTCAGTTTTGCAAGGGCTAACATTATAGATTTTAGGACTAAGGACTAAAAGACCCTCCCCCAAAAGACAACAAACAATAAAAATGAACAATGTAGTGTTGACATACGTACACACAGAACGTAAAACTAAAATTAAAGTTATATTAAAAAGTAAAGTAGTGGGTAAACTACTTAAATTTAGATTTGGCTCAGCATAGTAAACCAAATCCATTAACTCACTACATTTTTCAGATTTCATTGGAGATTTAATTTTCCTTCCTTTGTTATTCCTGCATGTATCATTTTTCAAACATCCCTTTAATTGGAACTTTCCAGACCAACTGCTGAACTGAAAACAAAAGTACAAACCAGTTTCTCAGTCTTCCTTCATTAAATTCCTTTGTCTTTCAGTTGCCTTTGGCCTCGGCGTGCATAATTCTAACGTGCCTAACGAGAAACGGAGGTGGCCCTATCAGCCCGTCTCTCAACCCGGACCGCTGTGAGCTCACCCTAGGAAACTCCTGAATGCAGGAAGCAATACTATGCTTCGATTGCTCGAGAGGAAGTTGTACAAATCCATGAACACGATGACACAGAGAGATAAATGAAGACGCACCGAGCCGCAGATCAAAGTTTGATCCCTTATCTGTCTAGACGCATTTCCTCCCTGACTTGCAGGTGATAATTTACATGTAGATTGACATCCATTTCAATTTCATAATTTCATTTTTCCTTCGATTGATGACAATCATTTTTTGTCACGCTTTTTTAATATTTTTTTATTTTTGGTAAATCAATTTCTCAAAACACTTTTTAATCATGAATAGTGTAACAAATTTGACCACATTACATAATAATAAGTTGTGTTTGTATTGCAAAGAAATGATAACTTCATTTACATAATTATTAGCAATATAGCGCACTGGCAGAGAATGAAACAATAATTTAGGCCTGTAATAAGGAGGCAGAGAAACACGATTGACATCAACTTAAATTTTAAAATATTTATATTTTTTTAATATTTCACAGACTAGGATTTCTCTTCTGTTTTACAATAGGTTCAACCACTAGATTTTATTATGATAGAATGGCTATACCCACTTTAGTTTGAAAAGTAGGTCATGAAATTAGCAAACCTATTTACATGAGCTTTCACTCTAATTTTGCAGACAGCAAGAGGGCAGCATTTCTTTTAAACATGGGTAATTTTTATTTTTTTAATTTCCATGTACAAAACTGATTGGTCAGACAGTGCATTTCAGAGGAAAATGAAAGATTTTTCTACAAACACCATAATGTTATCTCTGGTGGGTCCCTCCATTTAGAAAGCACATTTTATCAGCCATTTTCCAATGAAAGTTTGAAACCATGTTGGTAGATATGATTTTGTTTTCTTTTTCTCAAATTTCATCTGAATGGATCAACTTTCAGATAATAAGCCACATTTCCTTCTGTCAATGTAATGAAGAAGTATAGATGACAATTATTGGAGATAAAAAAATGAGTATAAATTATTTTGAAAACATCCTTTCAAGAAAACAGCAGGAATGTGTTAGGACAGGCAAAGGAAATTGATAACCAAATCTTACATAGGCCCCCTAATTAAATTAACCAACCAAATTCTTTTAGGTGTTCCAAAGATGAACCATACATCACACCTAAAGGTGTATTGGTTCTGTCTAATTTCCCTAAAATGGTATCAAAATAAAGGAAAATTGTGTGACAGATACTTTTTTTTGGACCATATGATAAATTACAGTCCATGAATGTGATAAGAAACAATCATAGTTATATGATATTTTGATTTGTGAAATTATCAAGTTTTTGAAAGATAAAAAAATGTATTTGCAATACATGTTCTGTAAATAAAAAAATATCATACTTAAAATAGTATATTAGAATATAGAAGTATAGTTTTTTTTAAATCTTAACGTAGTCCATGGTCTATAAATTGCTAAATTTGTCTTTCACTTTCCCTTCCTTGAATTTTGTATTTATCAATTAGCACTTGCACTTTATTTTCCTTAATTTCTGTTGCAGAAACTGTGTATCAATTAATTCAATTTCTTAACACACATTGGATTTCCTTGGATTTTGCGGCAACTATTTTTCTCTGCATAACTACCTTTAAAAATGTTAATATGAACAAAAATAAGCTATGCTCAATGATGCTTCTGGTATGTTGCACAACTTCAATCTCATTTCATCGATGACATACTTACTCCTCCTCCCTGATCATGCTGATCTTGTTAACTTCAGATAGGTGAAGATGTAAAGCCTCGTACCACGTTCAAACATGATGGATGGCCCCCGTCTACATTCAAGCATACTTGAGTGATTTAACACATCACATCACTAGCTTCAATGCTGAATCACTGGAGGCTTTTTCCATCTCAGGCTGTGTCATCATGGACCTAAGGTGTCATGAAAAATATTTCACAAGTAAGTGCACGTGGTAGTCAAGTTGTCACAAGAAATTTTATAATTTTTATGTTCGTATAATATTTGCAAATAAATCTGATATCCTCTATGATTATTTGTTTTAAAATAAAGGTGCAAGATAGATTCATTTTGAAATCAATATCTATCTTATACGTGGATTGGGGCACCCCAAAGGCACAAATAACGTAACATTTGCGCATGTTTTGTCCCTCCCACTTTGGATAAATTTGATACCCCCGCCCCTTCTGTGCTTTTCTGATGTTCTTTTTAGTTATACAAAATGTGAGAATATTTATTAAATGTGCATTTTAAATGCCACTGTTCATTTTATGGTACATGTCATTCTGGAGTAAAACTTTTTGAAATTAAATATCCAAAACATGAATTTCCAAACAGAACAATTAGGCATTGGGAATACCTAAAACTGTTTCATTTACAACTGACATAACCCCAACCCACTTCTATATAATTAGAGGCTTTAGAGCATTTAAAATGCATGGAAGAGAAAAATAGGGGAGGTTCAGAACAAATTTGTCAGAATTACAACTGACAAAACCCCATCCCACTTTTACATAATTAGAACATTTAGAAGGCATGAAAGCAGGAAAAAGGGGAGGTTCGGAACTAATTTGTCGGAAGAAGATTAGTTAAAAGTGCAATGTGTAAAGGACCTTGGGCGTAGCACATTGATCCAATTAGGGGTATGAGTAAGACATGGCAGTTATCATGGCTCTTAATTCTCAACATACATGCTTTGTGAGGTAATAATAGCAAACATTTCCTTGTAAGGTCTCTAAGGTAATATGGAGTTTTTGTTCAAGGGTGAATATTATATCAATGAAATTTTCATCATATATATATATATATATATATATATATATATATATATACATTTGAGTCACTGAGAACAGTTAGTAGGTATCATGCTCAAAATTATTTCATTGGGTAATTTTGGAATGAATAAATATTAATTTTGATGACTTCAGAATGTGTTTTTATGGTGCATCCATGCATTTTATGCAGGATTTGTGGAAAATTGCTATTGCAATCTATCCAATTTATAAAATGTTGTATACCGGTACACCAAATACAACTGATATAGACGTTGTACAAATTGATCGTCAGATCTAAAAGTTTCTTCATGCTGATATCTCACAATATGAAAAATAGACTTAATGAGAGGCTCCCACAATTATTTTGATGGTTCCTCTGAACAAAATATACTTATTTTTTCATATTTCACATTTAACATATCAACTGCATTTAGAACATTTTCCAACTTTAGCTTTGATTTTTTTTTACATTATCAGCATCTTATCAGGTATTATCATTGAACCTTGAAAAGCATACATTTTATGTGAAAAATAATCAACTTTATATCTCATTTTGGGAAGTAGAATATTTAAATACAATTCTCCTGCTCAGCTTTGCTTTTGATATATAGGTGCGTCATTGCATCCTTTGTTTTACAATTGTAGAATGAATTTCCTGTCTTCTATTAATGCACAACTGATTGTATCAAAATGAAG